ACACACGTTGTAGCAAGGAGATGGTTTGCAAGGTCTGTTGCTGCTGAGTGAGCACGGTATAGGGACGGTGTATTATGAATCCTGAGTGTGGGATCCAATGCAATGCGTTGTATATAGATACAAGTTAGTCAACGGATGAGTTCGGCACTGGGTAAGTTTGCCACCAGGCGAGTTCAGGGCTGGTTGAGTCAGGCGTCAGCCAGGCGAGGTTTTGAATGAGTCGGGGTCACCGGGGGTGGTGATGAGCTAGGTACCGGATGAGTTAGGCACCGGATGAGTTAGGCACCGGATGAGTTAGGCACCGGATGAGTTAGGCATCGGATGAATACGGCACCGTTTGAGTTTGGCACTGGATGAGTTTGGCACCAGATGAGCTTGGTCTTGGATGAGCTTGGCACCGGATGAGCGTGGCACAGGATGAGTTTGGCACCGGATGAGCTTGGCACTAGAGGAGTTCGGCACCGTGCGAGCGTTGTAGATGGGGTGAGTTACGGGCACCGTATGTGTCAGGGGCACGGGGTGAGTTTGGAATAGGGTATGAATTGGGGCCACTTGGCGCGCGATGTGTCTGATGTCAGTTACATAGGCACCGCGAGTGCGCCAGGCATCTGTGTGAGTTTAGGGATTGTGTGAGCGGCTCTGGGTGAGGCACCAGGGGAGTTATCGGGGACCCAGTGCGTCCAGATCGGGTTGTCCGACGAAGCTTTGCTCGTCTACACCATGATTGATATTCAGGCACATTTTCAGGTGGGCTTTATAGGAGAGTTCAGGGCACCTGGTGACTTTCCCACAGTGGATCACTTGGGGTCACCCAGTGACGTACGGGCTTCTGGTGAATTAGGCACCGCGAGTGCGTTACGAGCCCGGGTCAGTTCGGGAGTCCATTGAGGGGCATTGGGCGAGTGAGGCACCAGGTGAATCATGGGGGACCGATAGCTTGCAGATTGGAGTTTTCGAGTGGAATTTTGCTTCACTGCAGCACGTTTAGTAGTCTAGCAAATTTTCAGGTCAGCTCGGCGCGTGCTGGGTGAACCAGGCTCCGGCGAAATCCGGTATACCATAAGTTCGTCTGCACCGGGTGAGTTCTTCACCAGATGAGCTAGGCACCGGTTGGGTCAGTCAGCGGATGAGTTAGGCACCGGATGAGTTCTGCACCGGATGAGTTTGTTAGCGCAGGTGTTAAGCACCAGATGAGTTAGGCGGTGGGCTGCACTCCGCACCCGATGAGTAGATCATGGGATGATTGGGTCATCGGATGATTTCAGCATCGGATCGCAGGATCACTTAAGCACTGGCTGAGTTAAGTAACGGGTGGGTTTGGCCCAGGATGCGGTCGGAGGGATCGAGTGGTTATATTTTTGAATTCTTGAGAGGGCATCTGCTTGACTACGAAACTTTCTGTAGTCAAGCAGGAGTAAGGGGAGGAGGAGGAGGAAAAGGACGATGGGGGAGGAGGTACGAGGAGGAGGAGAAGGAGGTGGAAGAGGAGGAGGAGGATGGGATGATAAGTTGGAGGAGGAGGAAGAGGAGGAGGAGGAGTTGAAGGAGGATGAGGAGGAGAAGGAGGACTGGCAGCGTCAGTCAGCGTAAGCTGTCGCTCGCGTTCTGGGCCGCTCTTCGGGTTTCGTTGGGCCAAGCCAGGTCTTTGAACATTTGCTTGACTATAAAACGTCTTGTAGTCAAGCAAGTTTTCAGGCAGTCGTGGACTTCGTGCATTTTGGTCCTGGGCGCATAATGGGATGTCTTGGAAAGCGTGGCTTTGTCCAGTCTATTTTTGCGGACTTCACTGGGAGAGTCGATGTCTTTGAACATGTGATTGATCATACATTTGCTTGACTACAAAACGTGTTGTAGTCAAGCAGTTTTTCAGGCAGTGTTGGGGCTATCCATTCATGGCCTTCGGCGCTTCTTGGACTCTTTTGGGAGGCCCGGGGTTGTCTTCGCATGCTTGCGGGTTCGATTGGGGCACGGCAGTCCTGAGAACATTGGCTTGCTTACCAAACGTTGTGTAGTCAAGCACATTGCTAAAGGTATTGGATGCGTCAGGTGTATACATACTTTGGAAGTTCTTGATTTGTGTTGGGTGTCTGTCGCTGCCCTGGCTTGCTCTTCCGTTTTGATTGGGTGTATCTCGGCTTGTCTTGGGAAGTCTTGGGTTGTCATCGCTTGCTTCGCGTTTTTTCGAGGAAGTAGACGAGGATGGGGACGATAATAGTTTTTGACGTCGTTTGGAGAATTTTCGAGAGGAGAACCATGCACTGGGTGAGTGACCCACGAGTCCGGCACCGGGTGAGATCGGCCAGGGTGAATCAGGTGCCGGGGGTGTCCGGCACCGGATGAGGTAGTCGCAGGACGAGTTTGTTTTTGGATGAGTTACGCACCTGATGCGTTCGTCACCGGATGAGTTGAGCACCCGATGAGTTCAGGACCGGACGAGATCAGCCCAGGATGAGTTCGGGACCGGATGAGTTAGTCACGGTTGAGTTAAGCATCGGATGAGTCAGTCACCAAAAGCACCGGATGAGTTCAGCACCGGGTGTGTTTGGCACCAGATGAGGTCGGGACGAGTGAGTTTGATGCCGGATGAGTTTGGGATCGGATGAATTAGTCACCGGATGAGTTTGACCAGATGGGTTAGGCACAGGATGTATTAGCCCGGATCAGCTATTCACTGGATGAGTTTGACTGGACGAGTTAGTCATCGGATGAGTTAAGACCAGGTGAGTTTGCAATCGGATGAGTTTGACCGGATGAGTTTGACCAGACGAGTTTGCATCGGATGAATCAGTCCAGTTTCATTACGCCCTAAATTGTCACGTTGTGCAATATTACGCAGTGCTGCTATGATGCAGTATCGATGCTACGATGTGGCACGCTTGACTGAATTGCTACTCCGCGATGCTACGATTTGCGAAGCTATGCGATGTGAAATGGTATGCCGTGATGTGTCAGTCGGCGCCAGCATACGCATGTATGATGTTGTAGTCGCTATGATTTGCACTGTTTTGCACTGCATCTCTTCGCACTGCATCCAGACGCCCCCCAGCAGAAAAAGAAGGTCTCCCTTGTTGGGGTCGCGCTTGGCTTAAGTCGGGCGTGTCCCTCTACAGGAGGAATATTCAAAAGTAGGTAAAAAATGGTTTGGGGACGATTTTTTGAACATATCTGGAATATTTTAGAATCTTTTCGGGGTATTCTTAATTATTCGCCCAAAATCGGCCTGTAGGGGGATATGCCCGACCTAACGCTGGGCTCATGGGGCTCATCCTTTCTTGGAAGGCTCGGAGGTTGATAGACCTCCTACCCTGACACGTCGATTAAGGAATTGGCCGTTTTCGGTTTGCGAGATGGCGCGCGGCCGTCATTTTTGCGGGTCCAGGTCCGTCGGTTTCGGTCCCAGGCCGTTTTCGCTGAAGGGTGGTTCACTAAAGGGAGGTTTGTCCACCGCCGACCCTGCCCCCGCGTCGTCACAGCGCGGCGCCGCGCTGTGACTGGATGCGCAGCTCTCGGCTGCCGTCTGATGGGCCTCTTTTCCACCACCACCACCACCGTAGATTGTAGGGGGAGGGGGTTCCGCCCCCTCCTCCTCCTCCTCCTCCTCCTCCTCGTCCTCCTCCTCCATCTCCTTCCCCCCTCCTCCTCCTCCTCTTCCTCCTCCTCCTCCTCCTCCGCCTCTTCGTCCTCCTCCTCTTCCTCCTCCTCCTCCTCCTCCTCCCCTCCTCCTCCTCCTCTTCGTCCTCCTCCTCGTCCTCCATCTCCTTCCCCCCTCCACCTTACGGTGGCGGCGGTGGAAGACAGGCCGGTAGCAGTCGGCCACGCGCAGAGGGGGGGCGTGTGTCCCCCATACAGGCGGATGTTGGACGACAAATAACGAATCCGAGCATTTCCAAAAGAGGCCCCAAGAGGCCCCAAAACGGCCCCCAAGAGGCCCCAAAACTCGGCTAGCCCACAACGGTGCGACAATATGGGCCGGCGGAATGAGCGAAGCGATTAAATACCAAATCCGAGCATTTCCTTTGGGGGTGGAGGGCAAAGGGTGAAGCCTGACATGCCGTTTCGATGGATTTTCGAGGCCTGAATCTTCAGAAGGTGATTCTCAAGACGGATTGGGTTTCGAGCTGCAAGAGCCCATATACGGATTTCACCCCGAGCCCTCCACCGTAAGAACGTGCTCAGACGATACCCCCCACAATGCTCAAACAGATGCAGACACAGTCAACAAAATCGTCCCCAGACTATTTTTTTTGGGTGCTATTTTTGACTACTCCTCCTGTAGAGGGGCATGCCCGACTTAAGGTTAGAAGAAGGCTGCTTCTGCGAATGCGCGGGCCTTCTGTACAGATGCAAGCCTGGCGCCTCCGAAGAAGCAGCCTCCTTCAGAGAAGCCTTCCCCCCCTCCCCCTTACCCCCTCGTGCGCGCCGCCAAGGCAGTCAAAGACGTTGAAACAAGGAACGCTGTGGGCTCAGGAGGGACTCGGGGTTCGGGGCCGTTCCTGAGATTGATGTCGTGGGACCTGTTTGTGGCCTAGGCCCGCGGTGGCCAGAAAAGCCCCTATGAACCCTGAGATTCGACGTTGCCAAAGTAATGCAGCACCGCAAAACAATCGCGACCCGAATCCTGGTGGACCCCGTCTTTCTGTGTCATTTTTCGAAGCGGCTCGATCTGTGAGGGTCCCGGGGCCCGAGCCTTGGCGAAAACGCCTGTTGTGACAAGATTGCAACGCCAGGGTCTCAGGGACAGGTCGCGCCAGGAGGTGGGAGGGCTCCAGCGCCGTGCCCCGGTGGACAGGCGCCTCCCGCCGCAGAGGAGGACGAGCTCGAGGCGGAGGGCGAGTACGAGGAGGAGGGCGAGTACGAGGACGAGGGCGAGTTCGACAAGGATGACGAGTTCGAGGAAGAGGAAGAGGACGAGTTCGAGGAGGACGTCGAAGATGACCTCGAGGACCAGCGCTGGGTCTGGATGGAGGTTGACCGTGGCATGCTTGTGTTGTCCTCGCCTC